AACCCAGGAGGCAGAAGTTGCAGTGAGCCAGGATTGCACCACTGCACTCCAGCCTAGGTGACAGAGCAAGACTGCGTCTCAAAAAAAAAAAAGTTCCAAGATCAGGACTAGGCCTTCCCTCAGAAGCAGCAAGTGACATATGTGACATCCTCTCCATTCCCTATTTGCATTTCTAGGTTACATAACTGTACTATTATCTATTCATGCCTACTTCTGTTCCCAGGGTGAAGGACCCAGACATGGAGAGTCGAATCCCTGCAGGCCATTGTAAATGAGATTATGCCATTTGCTCCCATTTCTTCTTACCCCTTGATCTCTGGGGCTCTCCATCTTGATGTGTTCTTTGGATCATGAACAGATCCAAAGAAAAGGTTGTTCTGCTGTGCTGTGTGTCAGGATGAAAAACTCTTTAAGTGTGTAGGTCTGCCCCCAGTGCCCAGCCCAATCAAGTAACATGGTCGCCCAGAGTGGCAGAGAGGAGGACAAGGCCTGGGAAAGCACTGGAGAAATGGGATTTGTTTAAACTATGACAGCGTTATTTCTTGTTCCCTTGTCCTGTCTTTTTCCTGCAAGCAGGAAGGGAACCTGATTGGATTACCCCTTCTGATTGACAACTATGTGCCCCCTTTGGAGGGACTGCCTATCTTCATTCTTCGACTAGCCACTGAGGTCAGTGATCAAGCAGATACTAAGCATTTCGGTACGTGCATGTGTGCTGGAGGGAAAGGGCACATGACCACCCTTTGATATGGAATGATAAAGATGATAAGGATGGGACAGCTGAAGGCCTGCTCTCATCCTAATATTCATCCCCAGCAATATTCAGCAGTCTCATTTATAGTTTTAATGCCTAAAATGTCATATTTAGTTTTTTAGCTTTAAGTAGTCTGTGATCTCCATTTAGAATGAAAATGTTTAAATTCATACCTATTTTGAGGTATTGAATTCTTTGGACCAGGTGAATTGGGACGAAGAAAAGGAATGTTTTGAAAGCCTCAGTAAAGAATGTGCTATGTTCTACTCCATCCGGAAGCAGTACATATCTGAGGAGTCGACCCTCTCAGGCCAGCAGGTACAGTGGTGATGCACATTGGCACCCAAGGACTAGGACAGGCCCTCATACAATCTTTAGGAAATGAAACTTGCCCATCTCTAAAATTTTGGGATTTCTTTGTACCCAACAAGGTTCAAACACAATAGTCAGCTTTTATTCATGAGTTTTACTTCCATCTGCTGATGTAGAACATACCTCCAGAGTGACCTCAGAAATTGTCAAATGTGAAAGCACAAGCCATCACAGTGAGAAATAGGAGGTTGAGTTAGATTGTCTAAGGCTGGAGAGTCCATATACTCCCACTGTTGGCTCTGAAGTGTGTAGCCAGTCTTCAGATTCTGGGTCAGTCGCCCCTGTATCTCTCAGCTTTTTGCCTTGCTCTGTATCCAGCCACTGCCCTGCCAGGAAAACAAGGCTCTATAACTCCTCTTACAGGTCAACTTGACACAAAAAGGGTGCCTGGATTCCTAATGTTTCATTGTCACTTTTCCCAGTCAGATGATAATGCTTTTAAAATCAACATATATTTGGAGGGAGGTTGGAGGGGAGAGTTGAAATATTCTAAGAATCAAAGGGTAGCCCACTTTAATCAGAGTATGACCCCTGATTGGCCACAGTCATCTCCTAAGCAGTGTGAGCCAGTTTCAGATGAGGAGGCTGAAGGCCGCTCGGGCATGCTCAAGGATTCCAAGTCTGTAGGTGGGAGGGCAGAGATTTAGTCCTGTTGGCCAAAGCCTCTAGGGAGTTTCTCACTCCAGTGGAGAAGGCAACACACTTACCAAACTCTGTGGAAACTATCTCATTTGATGTGTGGAAACTATCTCATTTGATTGGAAATGTTACCTCAGGCAAAGGAAGGACAGTTGAGAAAGAACATTTTCTTACAAATGAGACAGCTAAGGCTTACAAGAAGGAGAGGAATAATGAGGCAAAGTAATCCTCATTAATATTTTCATTCCTCCCCTGGGGATTAGAACTATTTTCAGACCCGATTTTAATGGTAAGTTAGGTACTTCCTACGGTTGCCATCCAAATATCAGTCAGGATCAGACATGATGTTAGCTCCTGCTACAATAAAACCATTTTCTCCCTGAATGAAAACAAAGGTTCCACAGGAGACAGTCCCACAGAGCAGTGGCTTCTTTTCCCCCCTTAAAAACCTCATGTTGGCTGGACACAGTGGCTCACACCTATAATCCCAGCATTTTAGGAGGCTGAGGTGGGAAGATGGCTTAAACCCTGGAGTTTGAGGCTGTATTGAGCTATGATCACGCCACTGCCCTCCAGCCTGGGTGACAGAGCAAGACCTTGTCTCTAAATAAATAAACAACAACAAAAAAATCCTCTTGTGTTCAGGCCTGTGGTATCCCTGAGAGGCTGGTGCACAAGATCCACTTCAAAAGCCCTAGATAACACCAAGTCTTTCCAGGCTCAGTGCACATCCCATCAGCCAGGATACCAGTATATGTTGGGATGCAAACAGGGAGGCTTATGACATCTAATGTGTTTTCCAGAGTGAAGTGCCTGGCTCCATTCCAAACTCCTGGAAGTGGACTGTGGAACACATTGTTTATAAAGCCTTGCGCTCACACATTCTGCCTCCTAAACATTTCACAGAAGATGGAAATATCCTGCAACTTGCTAACCTGCCTGATCTATACAAAGTCTTTGAGAGGTGTTAAATATGGTCATTTATGCACTATGGGATGTGTTGTTCTTTCTCTGTATTCCAATACAAAGTGTTGTATCAAAGTGTGGTATACAAAGTGTACCAACGTAAGTGTTGGTAGCACTTAAGACTAACACTTGCCTTCTAGCTGGTAGCATTCCTTTATATATGGTGGATTAATTATAAATAAATAGTCAGATGTATCCTAACATAATTTCTTATTTAATTTTATTATTTATATATTGTGTCAGTTCAGAGGCCAAAAAGAACATGTCGCAGGCTCTGACGGTGCTGACCATGGAGAAGGCTGGATTTGATCATCTAGTGTCTTCAGTAACCAAAGCTAATTATTAAGGAAAAAAACTTGAAGAAAGAAGATAGTCCTTACTTCATCTATAATGAGTTTTTGGTTTTTGGGGTTTTTTCTTTTTTTTTTTTTTTTGAGACTGAGTCTTGCTCTGTTGCCCAGGCTAGAGTGCGGTGGCATGATCTTGGCTCACTGCAACCTCCGCTTCCCAGATTCAAGCAATTCTCCTGCCTCAGCTTCCCAAGTAGCTGGGATTACAGGCACCTGCCACCACGCCCGGCTAATTTCACTATGCTGGCCAAGCTGGTCTCGAACTCCTGACCTCAGGTGATCCTCCTGCCTTGGCCTCCCAAAGTGCTGAGATTACAGGCATGAGCCACCACGGCCGGCAAAAGTATGAATTTTTAAGTTAGCCCACTTTGTTAATGACTATGAGTACTAATAGCTTAAGATAAAGAAGTTTCTAGGTAATCTTTTTTGAAGGATGATGTAAAAATATAAACTTAAACTGTGAGTGACAAAATAAGCTTCCTTAATAAATATTAGCCTACATTTAGAGAAATGGAGCATTCAGCTCGGGAAGGAAGAATGTCTATGGTTTTAAGGTAAAATCCAGATTCCAAGACTCAGTGAAGAAAGTTCAGTGATAAAGAACAGACTACTCTCATCTTATGAAGAAATGGAGCAATTTCACTTGGAAAGACTAGGATGACAGAATGTTACACACGTATTTATTGTGCCACAAAATAGGCAAGGTCAGTTTTGAACAGTAAGAACTCCACAAAGTAGACCAGGACATCTCAGAAGTGAGGTTCCATGAGCCCAGGTGGGGCACAGGCTGAGTGACCTTTAGTGGAGAGGAATAGGGGGTTTTCTGAGCTTCAAGAGCTGGGCCACACAGTATGTTGGTTCTAGCTGGGATGGAGTTCTAGAATAAACCTGCACTTTAGAACACCTTTCCACCCACCCCCAACCACACAACTTGCTACTGAAAATGTATAGGCTGAGGCACAATGGCTCATGCCTATAATCCCAATACTTTGGGAGGCTGAGGCAGGCAGATCACTTGTGGTCAGGAGTTCAAGACCAGCCTGGGCAACATGGTGAAACCCTATCTCTAATAAAAATACAAAAATTAGCAGGGTGTGGTGGTGGGCACCTGTAATCCCACCTACTTGGGAGGCTGAGGCAGGAGAATCAAGCTTGAACCCGGAAGGCAGAGGTTGCAGTGAGCCAAGATCATGCCACTACACTCCAGCAGGGGTGACAGCACGAGACTGTCTCTCAAAAAAAAAAAAAAAGAGGCCAGGCACAGTGGCCCACGCCTGTAATCCCAGCACTTTGGGAGGTC